GCTCGTTCGTCATTGTCCTAAACCTGCTGGAAGAGACTTAGATTATGAACCAATGCAAAGAAGATGCCTGGTTTGTCTCACCTGACTTCAATAGGGATATGAAAATTGCTGTTTGGGTTTATAATATAGTTTCTCTTCTTTTAGAGCGTTCGAAGATCATACTATTTGAGTGTTGAGACTGTTACGAAGAAGCTACTCTGTAGCTTCTTCGTAACAGCTGCTACAAGATGCAATTTTGCTCGTATTCGGACTACTATTCGTACTACTACTATTCGTACTCGTACTCGTATTCATGGGAGTGCTACAGCATACGAATTTCTTTTTAGATACTGCGATGCTCTTAATACAATCCGTCGTGAATATGTACTCCCAGATTTATGTTGCTTGTCGCGAGAATACTTGAGAGATCCTTTGCAAACTGCCAAGTCTTCGCAACCGAAGGATGCACCTCAAGCCATTACTCTGAATTCTCCATTACTCTTTATTTATTGTGTGCACACATCATCCCATGTTCCTGTATCGCTTTTATATTCAAAACCTTTAAACCTTCGAATGAATACAGTTTTGTTGTTATTCTCACTTGAAAATTATTTTCACTTTTATTTTCACTGAAAGATTATAAATTTAAGCATGGCATCGGAGATTCAGTGGTTGTATCCGAGCTTGTTACTTTTCTGAAAATTTTGTCGGGCATTGTTGTTCGTATCTTTTTATTCAGACTATTCAGGAACTTGTGAAAGCCGTTTTGTCGTCAGTATTTCAGCAGGACCGATAGTAGAGCGAAATCAAGGTTAGTTAGTTATCCACAAATTGCTAATTATTGATCATGACAGACAGTTTACCCAAATATTAGGTGGTTTCAAAAGTAATTTCGCTTTTTTTAAACGGGCACCACATGTGACGGAACAAAGGTTTTTAAGAGATCTTGGAGGCATTCGATGCAGCATTTCATTCTCTTTCTAAAGGTTATGAAATTGTTGCAAGACATCAATGAGCTTTCAGAAATTAACCAAAATCTGCGCCCCATGCTTTTTGAGATGGTCAAGTTCCACGATTTTTTAAAACTTTATCAATCCTCAGAAGGAGTTCAAGTAACGATTCGATAGAGTAAACCTTATAGAATACAGAACTACTTTTTTCTCTTTCTTGTAATTCGCCGTAATTTTTTAAAAGATTTTTTAACAGAACCATCGGATTTTGGCAGGCCCACCTCAGCCACAATCACATCAAACATCATAATTTTTCGGAATTTGAGACTACCAAGATGAATACTATGAGTTAGCATTAAGTTTACAAAGCAAGTGAGGGCTTACGGGTTCGAAATATCAAATTTCGGGTTTTTCGAATGCAGCCTGGGGCTCGCCAAAAAAAATTGAGTTATGATGATTTCTCCCCAGAAACTAAACGAATCGGCAAAAAACCCCTGTTAGAAAGAGGAGAAAATGCTGCATCGAATAGTGCGCGAGCTGCTCTTCTTTTGATGTTGTACGAGGATTTAGCTGCCTAGGTATGGAAATCGGTAGCATCAGTTAAAATTCTGTTAAAATGTATGAAAAGAGGAAAGGAGAAAAAAGTAGTACTGTATTCTATAAAGTAAAGTTTGCTCTATCGAACCGTTACTTGAACTCCTTCTGAGGATCGATATGAAAGTTCTAATAATCGTGAAACTTGACCATCTCAAAAAGCATGGGTCGCAGATTTTGGTTATTTTCTGGAAGCTCATTGACTGATTTGCAACAATTTCACGACCATTAGAAAGAGAATAAAATTCTGCATCGAATGCCTCCAAGATCTCTTAGAAACCTTTGTTCCATCACATGTGCTGCCCGTTTAAAAAAGCGAAATTACTTTTGAAACGACCTAATACTTTTTTCCGTAAGTCTCAGATTCGGTCTTTTGCAAATTGGGGTGGCTCTTTATTGGTGGTGCTCGTAGATTGGAACTGAAAATCAATCTTAATCTTAGGTATCGTGTGTATACCGCTACTCTCTTTATCACAACTGCGGCAAATCAAGATCAGATTGTTAAAATTCATTCAATATCTTGGCGAAAGATAACAAGCTCTGAAATGTGGCCACTTCCTGATCAAGGCCTGACTTTATGAAAATGCTGCCTTGCAAAGTAGCACACATTCTTACGTGAACATGAGGTTGAGAAAAGATTGACGGAATAAACTCGCAAAAATCTAGAGAATGTTCTGATTCGACTTATCAGCGCGTTTCGTAGTAATGGGTGTCATTATTTATCTAAATTTTTAGCATCGCAGATGCAACTATACATGTGGGTGCTCTGGACGAAAAGGTCTCTGGAAACGTTTTATGGGAGTTATGGTTCAAACGGCGACCTGTGACCAACGTGAATATGCGTAAAGACCGAGTGGCAAATCATCAAGTGTTTGTCGCATATTTCATGTTCATTGGTGAACATGAAATATGAGCTGAGGTGAGTCATATGATTGCTCCTCTTTTACAAACAGAGGCAAGCTTCCTATATTGATATCCTTTGCTTGAAACTGTTTATCGTAGATAATCAGTTTCAATTGCAGATTTCTTCTCCTGACGGTGTTTTGCAGCTTCTGACTCGCCTTGTTAGATCCGTAGAGGCAAATGTTGATGTAAGCTTCACGATGTTTTGATCCTCAAGGTTTTTCAAAACATCTCCTTCATGAATTCTTTTAGGTTTCCACTTTCAAACTAACTTTTGGTACAAAGGTGGCACACTCCGAGAAGGATCATTCTTTACAAGCACGATTCTAAAGGACGCGAGAGGTGTATGAAAAGGTACTGAAAGCAATGTTAAACAGTTTTCTGACTATTTTCTGTTGCAGTTTATTTTTCCAAGCACTTCTACAGATTTTATAATCGCGTACTGTTATTGTAGAGCAACATCAACTTGACCAACCTTTTTTTTCGTTGAAGTCGCTTTCTCTGTAATGCGGTAGAAACCTATCGGATATGTACTCATTTCTTGAGTTTTTTTGCGATCGTTACCGATAGTCATATTTTATGTGAATTATGTTCAAGGTTGGAATGCGACGGTCGTGTTCTTTTCAAGAGATGTTTGCTGTCCCGAAAAACTACAAGTTGGTGGCAGCCCCTCGTTATACGACGATGCTGCTGCTAATGGTCCTCTCATTGCTGGCATTTCTATGACTCTCAGCAGGTGCGAATCATATGGACATGGAATTTTTTGTTCTTTTATCAGTTCAAACATCTCATCAAGTTTTTGATTTAGGTTCCATTTCATCTACAATGGTGTCGTGTAATATCTTGGTAAACTGCGTTTTGCCGATACTCATAGTATCGAGTTATTTTCTTTTTTTGTGGAATAAATTACAGTCTGCCGCTCTGCCAACTTTGTTGTTCTTGCTCCATAATACTGTTATCTTAATCTCTCTGTAGCCTTCAATTTTTCATCATAATACACTGCATTGTAAGAGCTTGTAAGAATTCAAAATTCAATAGGTGAAAAATCGCCGCCAATAGCCGATACGCAATGGATTACTTTTTTTTATAATGCAGACAACAAAATACTCGCACTTACATTTCTTCAATGTCTCAACTTCAAAAGTGCGAAGAACCAAAAGAAACGCTTATTTCATTGCCAAGTTGAATGCCTATGCTCAACGTGTACGCTGCAAATGTATAGGCGTACCAACCAGCATCGGTCATGTGACGTCGCGCCTGCGGCGACTTGCGGCGATGCGATCTGGCGCGCGCGGACTGTGCCACGCGTTATAGCACGCCGCATGCGACGGTGCGTCGTCGCAAGGCCTGCTGGCGGGGGACCGATGCCGGCTCATACAGCCTATAGCACATTTAACCCGATCTACTCGGCAAAAATATGGGCCCGAAATGGCTTTACGTTGACCGCTCATGGAAAGTTCACAATGATATCTTTATAAGTTTAGGTTCCTCCGATATGTCCATACAATCGTCTTCCCCAATTCGGTTACACTGCCTATCAAAAGTCCCAGGTAGTCTATGTTTTCTGGCTCCTCTTGACACAACATGTGTGTCAAGCGATGACTACCACGAGGGATCGCTTGACACGCATGGTGTGTCAAGACTTGAACTTTTAGAATATATCTTGGTACAGACATTCTATATGAAATCATTCATATAATCTTTCACTCAAACCTCAGACCAGCAGACTTTAGTCTTCTTTCATCCTATTCATTAACTTAGCTGGAAGCCTGAAAAACTGAATTCTTGGTAATAAGAAAATGAGTTTGACCCTAAACTCTTCACTCAGAATACGTCACAGACTGCGGCGCTCTACCCTTGTACCGCAATAGGCGGTGTAGTCTGAATGAACTCTCACTGATCCTCCTCATCACTCAGTCCATCAGAAGATGAACTAAGCGACGGAATGCTCGAGTCGGATTCGGCTATGGATGTGATATCAGTCGAATCTGTATCAGCATCCATCTGCTCCTAAGCCTTCTCTTCTTCTTTTCGCAAGTCTTCAAACCATCCTCTGGTCATGCTAGGAGGTACCCTCTCCATCCATCCAACGGCTCTGCCTTTTACCTAGGCAGAGCAAGTGCCGAGAATCCTCAAATGTTGTCTTCGTATATTGTGCATTACCGCTTCTAGCCTGTCGCTGGTTTTCGCGTATTTGCACAAATGTGCTTTCAGTTGGCTCCAACAGGATTCCACTGGATTAAAGAAGCAGTGGAATGGGGGTAGCCTGATAACATTCACCCACACGCCCTTACACATCTCATCACATGCGTGCTTCCGTAGTCGATCGATGCCGATGGCGTCCACCATCTTCTTAGCTAAACAAAGAAACTATTGTAGCTCTCATTAAACGGCTCTGAGGACCACCTTTATAAGCAATTCAGCTTTTGTACTTCTTTCCGATACGGCCACCCCCTTCAGCTCCAGGTAGCCCTTTATCTCAGCTTTTGTCGATGCGGATGTTGGCACACGTTCAAGCTGCCTTGAATGGTAGGGGGCATTATCCATGATCAAGCTGATACGCGCGCCGGCTGCCCATAATCGCATATGAGGTAGAGCGTCCTTAAGCCACTCCTCGAACACCTCGTGGTTCATGTCACGATGGTAAAAAAAGCTTTACCTCGTCGGACTGATCAACGCGATCCGCGCGATTGGGTTGCGCGGAGTCCACTTGTGATGGAACTGAAGACTAGAAAAGAAACACACAATGAATAAAAGGCTAAAAGAGAGAATAAACAGACTAAAATAACAACTGAAAGAAAATTCACAGCATGGAATCATTCAAACAACAAAAAAAAAGAAAACCGAAAATCAAAAAAAAATTACCTTGATCCCCATGAACACGGCCATGGCGTTCGAGATACGACCGGGTTGTTTTTGAGAGTATGAGTCCGACTAGAAACAGATTGAAAACTTTTTGGAAACAATTAAATTGCATTTCTACCTGGAAGAGCTCAGAAATAGTTTTCTTCAAATTATTTACAGGAAGATCATTTACAGATGCTTTGTTTGCTGAAGACATAACGATTACCTTAAAAAACAACGACAGATTCACCACCATACTCACGTGTTAGACCGAGGTTTCACGGAAAAACAAAACAACACGTAAAACATAGTCGATGACAATGACGAACGAGCTTACGAATGCGTTAAATGGCGTTTTACGAGAAACAAAGCAAAAGAATGTGATGATACGTAGGAAAATAACGTTGTTATAGCAGATAAAGCATTGCATTTGAATGAAAGCACTTTAGAAGGATTAAAAGAGTATACGAGAGAGTGAAGGAGTAAGGAGTATAAGAGAGGATGAAACAGCTAAAATTTTCGAAGAATTCAATTAGAAAAACAGTAAAACAGCTGTGGCGGTCGAATCGCGCGAGCAAACGGCGTCGCGTGCGTGCGCGCGCGCAGTGGTTCACATGGGAACCTGTTCGGGGCGCAGACGGTATACGATATTACTCCAAACCACATCATGCAAAAAGTTTCAGAAACTTTGGTATCCTAATACCGGTTGTCGAATTTGGTTCCTAGACCAGCACCAAACGAATGGGTTAATTTTTTGGAGCACAAATCTTGGAGAATCCACATAAGTGTCGGACCTTTCTAATTTGTGTTGAAACGCTCAGAAATTTATCATATGGGGGGAAAGAGCGAATCAGACCATTACCTTTTTTTCAGCCAAATTAGTTAAATCACATGCCTGCCGATCATCCTTTGAACTGGCGATAATTGCTCCTTCCTATTGTTGTTGCTTTGAATTGTTGTTTGTTTTCTTACTAGTTTCAAAGTCGGAAGGGGGATTTTGTAAAAATTTGCGTGATCATGCAGACTTTGTTTCAAATTCCTTTAACAAACGCAAGCCGGACCCTACACTTCTTGATTTCAAGATGTGTTTCTGAAACATATGCACCAATTAGGTGATAAAGCGATGTTAAAGAGTTGTACGCGTAAATAATGGTAATAGCAAAGTTGAGACAGTGCTTCAAAGTGAAAGTTTATGATGCTTATAGAAAGTGCACAGCAGAACACTCCGAGTCATAATGATTTTCGTCACCCTCACATGGTTGCATATTTCAACACACTTGCTTGCCCTCCACATTTCAACACAGCAACTGCAGCAGCAGAGCGCACATAGCTGTCTCATCTCAACCCTCTCATCGGGCTCTGGATGTTGAGCTTTGTCCACCGCCGCTGCTCCAGAAAAGTGGCGATCTATGCGAAACTTTTTATTCAAGACAACGTTGTAGTCATACATGAGAGGGGAGGGGAATCAAATTAGCTTTCAAGTTTTTTGGTTTTGCATTCATGTTATACATAGAGGAAGAGTATAGGAGTGGATTAGATGAAAATAATTTCAACAAAATTATTTGCAGCTTATGATAGAAGATGTGAAAAATTAATTTGTTTCTATCATATTCCATCATGGTTTCTTTTCCTGTTTGCAATATCATCGTCATATCAAGCAAAGCACTTTTCAATAGTATTGTAATATCTTATATATATAGCTGAATGTCTGTTTGTCTATCTGTATGTCTGTATGTGTGTACGTATGTTTCGAATAAAAAATTCCATTTCTGAACCGATCCGGGCCAAACTTGGCACACATACACTTCGGGGTCGGGCGGGTGTCACAGGCTACTTCTCGTCATCGATCGATATCAATTTTATCGATTTTTATCGATTTTTTTCAGAGTTCACCTACGGAGCTGGGATTTGGCACAAGGGGTAATCGAGCATGCTGACCACCAAAACAAAACAGCGAGAATAGTGAATTGGTATGTAGAGTTGGCACAGGAAAAGGTTGTACAGGGATAGAGTGAGAGCTTTATCTTGGTGTTCTGAAAGGGCCGGGCGGAGCTGGGTAAGCCAGCTAGTCCTTAATAAACCTCATAGTCCTCGATGAAGATCGTGAAACACTGCAGCAGCAGCTTTCATGCTTGATAAAGATGTCAACGATTGGGATGGAATGCCTCTGGATACATATGCGTTAGCCAGGTCGTTAGCTACGGTCGTTTGCCAGGCCCAGATCGGGAATGTGAAAAGATTGGATAAGTACATACCAACATACTGAGTCGGGCCAGGAAAATCGCAGTTTGCAAATTCAATTGCGAATCTTCTCGATCGAACTGCGACTTGTGATGTAAGATGGATCCTCTACGACAACAGGAAAAGTTCTGCACAATGGTTGGAAAATGAAGAGCAGCCCGGCGTTTCCCGAAGATGAGAAAATATCCAAAAAAGTGATAGTGACTGTTTGATGGTCTACCGAGGGAACTATACAACAGCTTCCTAAAATCTAGTGAAATGATGACGTCGGTTGTAAGAAAATTGACAGATACGCCAAAAACTCAAATACATCCGTCCAGCTGGTCAGCAGAAAGAGACTAACCCTTTTGCACGACAACGCTAGTCTGCAAATCGGAAGTTTGATTCTCCAGAGATTGAACGAGTTAGGCTACAAAACTCTACGCCTTATTCTCTCCCCCCCCCCCCTTTCCCCACACCTCTCTCCCACAGGTTGCCACCTTTTCGAACATATAGACCATTTTTTGCGGGAGAAAATATCTAAAGAACAGGGATGCATAAGATGCCTTTAAAGCGTTGTAGCAGATCCCCACACTAATCTGTTTAATTAAATTGACATTCTCGTTAGCAGAGAAATGTTAATGCCAATGATTCTTACTTTGACCGAAAAGGTTATCCCTGAACAAAGTTACAAGCTTTTGAAATTGAGATAGCAAAACATGCAACATTATGCATCATCCTAATAATATAAATGGAAATCTAGGTAAAAGCGAAGCGAATACAATGAAGAGGAAGGGTTAGTGCTGGCCAAAAGTTTGCAACCGCTTTCTGAAACTCCTGTACCTTGCTCCTTTGCGCAGCCCATAAACCGTACTTTTACTATTGCGTGCGATAAACACTACAGTATATCACATCAAAACAGCTTGTGATTCTATGCAGATGGCAAAATTAGAGGAGTTGCTGAAATTTGCAAGAAAAAGGACTTGTCAAGACTTGCAGCCACGTCTTCTAAGCTTAGCGCAGGATGATGATGTTTGGCTAGGTAACTTAAAATTGGGTATTGCTGATCCATCCTTGAATCACCAATTATGACTCGCTGTAAACCACTCTCGGAGTTCGAAAAAGGGTGCATTGCAACGTTATATGCGCAAATTGGTCTAACCGCCGGATAGCTGCAAAAATCGGACGAAACACACTTTCTTGTTAGCAAATATCTGGCACATCCGAGTTCTTATGGAAAAGTCAAGCAGATCGGACGCCCACCGGTGCTCAGTCGCCGCGACAAAAGAAACATTATCCGCCTTGCATCAAATTCGACCATGTCATCCAAGCGAATTTTGACCACTCTGCAGCTTGATTGTTCTGCCAGGACAGTGTGTAAAGTTTTGAACCTTGTAGAAATATTGCGCGAACCAAGATGATAACCTGCCCAAGGTTGACAGATTCTCACAGAAAAGATAGACTCAATCTCGCCGAAGGGAACCTTTCGAAGCAAATCGACTGGAATAAGGTGCTCAACTTGCTTCTACATCTGCCACTTATTCTTAGCTTATTGTTCAAATTGCGTGGCCGGACGAAAAATCTACTGTCGACAGTTTAGATGGATTGACGCGTTATTGGCACGACATACGGAAGAAGCCGCGATTTTTCTCCAAACGCGATTTCGGAGGCTGCAACTTGATGGTCTGGAAAGCTTTTGAAGCGTCCGGCACCCTTCCTAGCATTCGCATCGAACAGAATGACAAGCCTAGAGTATCAGCATTAGAATGTCTCTTGTGCAGTATTGGCAACACGATTGTGTTTTTATGCAAGATAACGCATCTGTTCACAAGAGCAGTGCGACGCTACCTCCTCGACAACAATCCGGGTACCTAACTGACCCCAATGCTCCCCCGATCTAAATCCGATAGAAAAGTTGTGGAGCCTAATCGTGCGCGATGTCTACAGGCAGTTTAACACTTTCAATGAGCTCAAAGAAGCAATTCTAAGCGCCTGGACCAACATACCCGCTCGAGCCCTGACTAACCAAGCTAGCAGTGTTCCGAGGCAGATGGTTAAGATTATTGCACGCAAAGTTCAAGCGATAAACTATTGAAGATTTTTTTAGTGATTACTCGTTGTTGTTGTATATTAGTGGTTGCTAGTTTTGTCCAACCTTTTTTCGATTTCGCTCCACATTTCTCTTGTGTTTCGGAGGCATCAATGATATGTTGTCATATTGTTTCTCACTGTAAAATCATCCATTTTGACAAGTTTTGGACAAATTTCATTCATTTAACACGTTGACGACGAGCCATTTTTTGAAGGTCTGTCCCTGTGGACGAACCGTTTCCGGGCATTTTCACAGCCGGCTGCACATATGTATGCATGCATCTATACGTGAGATACACAAATGCAAGTGGGCAAGGCAGCTCCGCCCACTTTTGGCAAGCCCCGCCCACTTTTAAAAAATGCTGAAAATTGCTCAAAATCAATGAATTCGTGCAAATTCCGGCATTTTTGAAAAGTGGGCGGAGCTTGCCACTGAGGGGGTGGAGCCTGCATTACGGGGGGGCGGGGTCAAAATTAAAATTATTTAAGGTTCCCCTGTCATCTATGAGCTTTTCTATGCGATTTGAGAACGAAAAAAGTTTTTTGTAGAGGGCAGTGGAGTGGGCGGAGTTTGCCAAAAAGGGAGCGGGGCCAACATGAAATACTTTCGAGCCTAACTTGATTATATGAACACAAATTGGAACCATTGTGCACATTAAAACTGATGTTTAGGGTGTCGCGCACCATTGCGCGACATCGTCCACAGGGACAGACTGCCTGTCGCGCACCATTGCGCGACACCGTCGTCAACGTGTTAAAGCAGCGAAGAAAGAGAGAAAGTTGAGTGGCTGCAAACTTTTGCCCAGCACGGTAGTTGCTTGATATAGGGAAACGGTCAGGAGGTACGATCGCCGCGAATTTTCCGCGAAGCGAAGACGCAGCGCACTTCAGCCAATGCAATAGCAA